TGAATGTTTGGAGAGACAGCCTATCAGTGCTAGAATGATTAAACCCATTTTATATCCAATTACATCTGTCTCCTTCCAGTTACGCTTCCTCTGAAGAACACAAGGAAGAGGCGGTTCAGGAAGACAGCAAAGAAGAAGGTAACCTCATTTGGTTTTCTTCAAGCACTCTGTTGTTGTTTTTTTCCTTGGATTTTTCGGATGATTCTACAATCCTTTATCATCCCTAGTTGGGGAAAAAAATTGTTTACTCTTGCAGGAAAATGAGTTAATGCTAAAAGCTACGATTTACATATAAATAAAGCATTCCATCTTCATTTACCACCAAGGTATGCAGGAAAGCAATCTGGCTCTTCCTTTGATTGAAGTGACGGCAGCCAAGTTAGTGGCAGGTTTTTCTCTCTGACTCTTGAATAAATCTCAGCTACGTTGCAGCTAGCTATTGACTCTGCTTCCTTTTTTAATCGCTAATGTGTTCTCTGGCATGCAGCCAGCCTCTACTGTTAGTACTATGTGTGCGTCTGAATGCGTGCATGCAGTTTTTGAGAACGTGTTCCTTGGGACTGAATTCTAACCCGATTTATCCTGCAGTACATCGAATCTCCTGATGTGGAAAAGGAGGTGAAGAGGCTCTTGAGCACAGACGCCGAAGCCGTCAGTGTTTGTATCCTTTATTTCTTGCTTTTGTTTTCCCCTGTCATGTTGCCGCAATCCCAGTGCCAAAAGAAATCTAGATGCAAATGTCATTACTAATGTAGAATTGAGCATTTCTGTCATACTCAGCCTTGTCACCAGGTGGCAGGTTTGCTCACAAATGAAATGGAGCAATTTTGCAAGAAATAAGAGTCGGTTAAGCTCAGCATTACAGGAAAAAGTAGCATGAGTCGCGTATAAATTTGTGGAGCTCAGCAGCACAGTGATATAACAAACAGCAAAATGGCCTAGTGCCCAAACTCAGAGGATGAAAAGGGATTATTGATATATGAACCTTGACCCTGTGGTCAGGATGGGAGGTGATTGCTGAGGATGAGGCCAAAGAACCTGACAACAGCTTATCTCTTTCCAACTTGGAGTCTTCACCTGGAACCTCGGGACACAAGGGTCACGGCTCGTCAGGTGAATGATCTCACAAGTCTGACTGCCTTTTATAGCTATATATTTCCCTGTGTAAAGTTTTCTTCTAATTTAGTCCAACATGACGAGCTACGCGAGATCTTCAACGACATCAGTAGCAGCAGCGAGGACGAGGAGGGTGACCGACACGAGGACGACGACCTTAACATCATGGGCACTGAAGACTACATGGTCAGGCAACTCCATGAGAAACTGAACGAGACAGACGGAAGCAGAGACGAGAATGACCGCAACAGTCAGATCGGTAGGATGGTGGTGCACGGGTTGTCTGATCAGTTATAGTGCGTCATCAGGACAGCAGCTCAAGCCCAATTTATCACAGGCAGGCAGACCGGCAGACAAACAACAGCCGACCTAGATTAGCATTTGAATGATGAGCCTGCTGCGGTATTTAGGTCAGATGGGTGTACCGGTTGTCTGGTGGTGTCTTTACCCATACAGACATGCCTGACCTTGGCATCATCCCACAACCCTCTGTCTCTCAACTGGCAGCGTGCCTTCAACGTCACATTGGCACTTAACCGGGAAAAAATGAGCCATGCTGCTCAGAGCTGTGCCACCATGTGTTTTGTTCACATAGCCTATTCTTCAAAGCAAAAGGTTTAGCTATAGGGTTACCTTCCTAAAGGGATAGTTCACCCAAAAATGAAAATTCTGTCATTAATTACTCAACCTCATGTCGTTCCACAAACACAAATGAAGATATTTTTGATGAATTCCGAGAGCTCTCTGACCCTCCTATAGACAGCAAGGATCCTAACACAATCAAGGTCCAGAAACGTAGCAAGGACATCGTTAAAATAATCAACGTGACATCAGTGGTTTATCCGTAATTTTACGAAGCTAAGAGAATACTTTTTGTCGTAAAGTTGTTATTTTTGTTTTCTTTGCACACAAAAGTATTCTCGTAGCTTTGTAAAATCGCGGTTGCACCACTGATGTCACATGGATTATTTTAACGATGTCCTTATTACGTTTCTGGACCTTGATCTTGTTAGGATCCTTGCTGTCTATGGGAGGGTCAGAGGGCTCTCGGAATTCATCAAAAATATCTTCATTTGTGTTTGTGGAACGACATGAGGTTGAGTAATTAATGACAGTATTTTTATTTTTGGGTGAACTATCCCTTTAAGTTAGATGTCTTTTCAAGAGTGTTGTTGTTTCCGTATGGAAGGTTAATATTGCATTTTCTAGTCAACTAAAATTCTATTCCAATAGACTGTAATAAGATGCCAATTCAATCCAATTTAAAGTGGTATTGTCCTTAAAAGACAAAAACTATGTGTAAATGTTAACTCTGTTTTATAGACGCATTCGAAATGTGCCAACAATACCAAAAATGCTGTCTAGGTAGGTCGCTTAATTGGATTTGAAAAAAAAAGTCATTCTCTTGATAAATAATACCACATATATTATAACTGGTATGTATCTTATATTGTAAGTCAAGTTCTGCATGTTCAAATTCCATGTCATTAATTTTTTATATATCATCCACAATTCCCAAGGCATTTTCTTGATATCTTGGTGTGTATGCCCTCAATGGAAATAGGTATTTAGAATTCTCTGTCTCTGAGCGTGCAGAACGTAAGAGGTGGTGTTCAGTATTTATGCAGCCTGAAGGGTTGCACAGTTAGAGTGTGAAGGATTCACAGATAATTGGGACCTTTGATTACATGAGCATTTGCAGATTAACTAGCTCTCGAAGGTAAAAGAGAGCTCAGTTTGACATCCAGGGTCTATGACTAAACTTGTACGCGTGTTAACTAGGGCTCATGTGTAGGGCTCACAATCTCTTATTTGATCTGCAGTAATGGAGTATCAGGTGCAGATCAACAATTTGAAGGCCAAGCTTCAGGACACACGTAACCGCAAGAAGGAACAGGAGAAATTGATAATGGAGGTGGAAAATCAAGCCCTGAGGGTGGGTTACATTTACCTGCACTAAATATGTAGCATGCTACTTTTTCTGGCACGGTACATCATGTAAACACACAGCCTTGGTGACACTGTTTTTGTGCAGTACAGCCCTTTAAATGGCCTTGAATAAACCTAAGAAGGCAAGTTTTTTTCTGTCTTTTTAAGGCATAAATATTACATTTCTGCCTTTAGCTGCTTTTACATAGCTCACAAAAAGCATAAAATTCATTGCTCTGGCAGCTGCTCCATTGGGAGGATTTAGACACTGTGGAATGGGGTTGGACGTGTGGTTTAACAGTGTCACTTCGGTTGGCCTGTGTGCACTATGCTGGCTAAATTTGTCCACGGTTATTGCAGTCACAGGGGACAAGGAAAGGTCATACATGTCTGAGGTCCATTCACAGGGTCACAAATCAAATACATGTGTGTATGAGCAGTTAAGACATTCACAAACAGCCAGCATCAAAACAGCTTACTGTCAGCTAGATAAAGTCTCTTTCTCTCTGTCTCTCTCTTCTTTCCATATTACAGGATCGTTTCCTGGGTCTTTTGAATGGTATGACTCATCAAGAAGAGCAAGAGATGGAACAGGTGAGTGCATACAAACCCAAAAGTCTGCATACATTCGGACTGGGTAAAAATATTTTTCCAATTAATCATGATTTGAAAAATCTCAATATTCATTCTGTAAATTCCCAAGACCTTTTACTCCATGCCATTTTTACCAGTGTATTTTGATTCACAAACAAATAACTCTTATAAATTGGACCTTTTAGTAAAAACATACAGTGCAACCAGTGTAGTCAGATTCCTGAACAAATGATTCATATGAACTAGTTCTTTTTGGGGAATCAGAAACATGCAGCACAACTAGCATAGTCAAATTGACAAACAAATGACTCTTTTGAGTCTGTCCTTTAATTAATTATTTTAAAAGGGCATGATTATCATATATACGCATCTATTCCCAGTTTAATTTAAAGCAATAGCTGAGAGTGATCTATTTTATATGATAAAATCTTTATTATAACGTAAAAATATGCCCAGATGAGTTGTAATCAAATCAAATAGAACTGAGAGCTTTTTAATTGGAATCTAATTATTATTAATTCCCCTAATGCATGTAAGATGTCAAATCCATGACTTAATTCCGCATATTCCCATTGCTCTTGGTGAGAGTAGATTTCTGTATATAATATTGGTGAGTAAAAGAACTAGACACACATACATGCTTTACTGATTCACCATAACCCTTGGCCAATGTCAGTTTCTGCTGTCAGTGTTTGTTTACGCCTAAACTGACAAATGGCTTGATGGAAAAAAGTAATAACGTTGGAGGTGTTGTTGAACATATTGCACTTAGCCTTCAATTATACCCCTACTGCTAGCCATCCATCACTGCTATTCTGTTCCAACAGCTGGCCTCCCTTCAAGAGCAGCTGGACTCGCTGATCAAGAAGTGATGCCCACGATTACCAAGATACTGCAATACTGCAGAGGCGACTGCTGAACATATTACCTACTTTACTGCATGTATTAGCTAAATTTGAACATCCCATTGAACAAAAAAAAGTGTCAACATACTTGTGCTCATCACACAAGTTTCTTCTCATGCAAGATTGTGTATTTGTACTTTTTGTGAATTTGTGTCTATAAACCTTTAGTTAACGGCAGTTTTTTAAATAAAATCATATTTGAAATGGTTTTGTTAGCATATTTCTTCTGCTCAGTAAGTCTGCAAATTTGGAAGCTACTCCCATTATAGTGGTCAACAAACTGGAAAATCATACTAGAGACTTCTAGATGATTCTGTCTGCAGTAGATCCCACTGAATTATACTAGCAAACTCTTTCTGGGATTACTGAACTCTATTGCCTTCCAGAATGATCTCGACTGTCTCCATACTCTTGAGTTCCGCTCTCTGGTCACCCATCCCTTCACTTCTTACAGGGGATTATACTGAAGATTCAGGGGGTTGAAGGATTAGCCAAGGCAGATTAAAGTGGCTATCCTCAACCTGGTAATCCAGCCATCTGTCAGAAAGCAGTCAGGCAGCATTGGGCTGCAGGGTGTGATTTGTCTCCCTTCCTCAGCTTGCTAATTAATACTGCCAAGGACCAGCTCTCACAGGCTACAGAACATCAGGACTGTTTTAAAAAAGAAACACTCTTCTACAGAGTTTAAAATGCAGGAGGCGTATTTGCTTGGCCATCCTGGCATAAAAAAGAAGATTTTGCATGGAGGTCAAGGACCATTGCCGCATTTTCCGAAGGGAACCAAGGTAAGCTGTATATATGGTTCTGGATAGCACTTTTGAGTGGACGTTTGTTTGGATGGGTTCTTGTCTAACCATTTGCTTTGATTAGAAATGGTTGTAGTTTGATTCTACTGATGATAAAAAGGTTTGGTGCATATAATTGCACAGAAGTTTGGCATCCTATCATTTTGGACAGTGGCGTATCTGCCAGGTGACTTCCCCCCTGTCCAGCCATATGGCCCTCAGCCTGGAGAGGATGACAAACATTTTCCACGACAATGCCAACATTAATCTCTCCATTTACCAGCTGTGCTCTGTATTCACTCTGTGTTCTATTCCATCAAGGTGTCTGTTTCAACATGCTTTAAAAAAAACATACATTTAAATGTCTTATACTGAAGGTAAAATTGGACCATGAAGCTATTAGGATGGCATGAGGAGAAATACATTCTGGCCTGCTTAAAAACCCTGCATTTCTCTCCCAAACACACATAAACCCATACAGAGTAGCAAAGTTACAAGATGTGCATGGTGTACTAAGCAGGAAAAATATCTAAGCTCTTTCTTAATCCTGTTCTTATTCTCTTTTTTCCTCTGCCTTCCTACCCACAAAGCTGGTGTTCCACTTTCAGACTCTGTTGGACAACTTTGAAAGAACAGTGATTGACGACAGTCGCAAAAATAAGCGTCCCACAGAGATTTTCGTGGGGAAGATGTTCAAAATGGAGGTGTGGGAGGTGCTGTTAACCTCCATGAGGATTGGAGAGGTGGCGGAGTTTTGGTGTGATGCTATTGTAAGTCTTTGAAATCAAACTAAACCTCTTGTTGTGCCTCCCACTGTTTTTCCCTTTCTATAGGTATAATCACATCCGCTTCAATTGGATCTTAATTAATCCTCACATATGAATGTGAGACTGTATATTGACAATAGCTGACAATAATACAGAATGTGTCTGATGTATTATTCACCTTTGGTTGCTTCCTACATTTTCTATAAACATTCACATTTTCTCTAAATACTCAAAATACAAAAAAAAACAAAATACAAGGAAATTAATAATCAATTCTGCAAGTCAAATGAGACTAAAGATTCTGGTTAGATGGTTGATGTAGAAATAAGTTGCTCCCCGCTACTGCATCAAGCACCATGGCAAAAGAAATCAAGAAATTGTGAGTTTGCCACATATATTGAATGTGGTGCAGTTAAAACAATATGTACCACAAAATAAAGGCAAAAAGAAAATATATTTCGGGTTCTCCTAGAGTCTACAAGCAAAAACAAGCAAATAAATCTTAGGTAATTATGTAGGAAACACTAGCATGTGATGTTTTTTTTTTTTTTATGCAGCACACAGGTCTTTATCCCATGGTGTCAAAAGGGATGCGACTGGCTGCTCAGGGAAAGGACCCTCTAGAGGGCCAAAGACACACGTGTGGCATGGGAAACTTGTTTCACTACCATTCGACAGGCTTTCCAGAGCTTGATGAGCTAATGAGGACACCTCAGCCTCTAATCTTCATCATGGAACTAATCTTGGTGGGTCAGGTGTATTCACACAGTGCAAGAAAACAAGCAAATACATGCACGCACCCTTGCACAACAACACTCTCATACACTCATTCTAGTTCGACGACTCCACCTCCAACAGATTTCTCACTGCAACCCAAACAGAGCATAATAGAATATTACACAATCAAGTGCTACATGCCAGGAAAGAAATGTTGTTCCCAATTCTCAGACCATGTTTTCAATCCTCAACCAAGCGAGACAAGCACGCTCCAATTCTCTGTCTACCTCAGGTGGGCGACCCGTTCTCTTACCAGCGGGAGTCTTGGATGATGGAGAAGGATGAGAAGCTAAAGGTCGTGCCCTCGCTACATCTTTTGGGCAATGCTCTGGTCAAGCAGGGTCGGTTCCGTGAAGCTGCAGAAAAGTACCAGGAGGCTGTGGTTCTGCTGCGAACAGTCCAATCCAGGGTAAAGGAAAAACAAAATGACATTGAGGTTATTAGGGGTCTGTGAAGAAACTGATAAGAAACATTCAGACATTGATGAGTGCACCTGAGTTTGTTTTTCTTCCTCTGTAGGAGATGCCTGGAGATGAAGACTACATTAATCTGGACAGGCTTATCATTCCTCTTGTACTGAACTACTGCCAGTGCATGTTAGAGCTGGAGGAATATTATGAAGTCATAGAACATACAACAGAGCTCCTGGACAAGCACAAAGGTAGGCCATCTTATTAGCATAAACCAAATGGTTGAGGTTTTGCTTTTTAGCATGACCCAGTTTGCCCCTGTTGGTAGATGCTGTAACTACACTGTCTTTTACCATTGACAACCATTATAAAGTAGCCCTATATAGAGAGTGCTGCAGGGAAACCATATTTGTGACCCTGGACCACAAAACCAGTCATAAGTGTAAATATTTCCAAATTTAGATAAATAAGCTTTCCATTGATGTATGGTTTGTTAGGATAGGACAATATTTGGCCGAGATGTGAAAATCTGGAACCTGAGGGTGCAAAAAAAAAAAATCTAAATATTGAGAAAATCACCTTTAAAGTTGTCCAAATGAAGTTCTTAGCCATGCATATTACTAATCAAAAATTAAGTTTTAATTTTTCGGAAAATTTACCAAATATCTTCATGGAACATGATCTAAAAATCTATAATTTGAAAGCAATAATGAAAGAAAAATCTATAATTTTGACCCATACACTGTATTTTTGGCTATTGCTACAAATATACCCCAGCGACTTAAGACTGGTTTTGTGGTCCAGGGTCACATTTTTGTAGGTCAACCTGTAAATTAGCATCACACTTGACAAAAGGCCAGTAATCCAGCTTTTGGATTATTGCAGAAAATAAACTCTATGACCAATAAAACTTCATGATTCTTAAGGCATGTTCACACCAAGGACGATAACTATAAAGATAACGATAAAAATATAGTTCTAAAAATCCACACCACAGCTATAATGATAAATGAACAGAGAAACAATATTGTTGGAATCACTTTTCAGAACAATTTTTTCAGTCTTAATGAATAAAAAATATATATATTGACACCCAATCAGAATCAGTCCTGCTGTAACAAGTTCGACAATTTAAAGGGATAGTTCACCAAAAAATTTGGAAGCTTAAATGCAATTACCATAAGTAAAAATCTTAACTTAGGCCATAAAAGAACTACACCGACAATAAGCTTCTGGAAACTCTTTCAGCATTTATTTAAGTTGGAATGTTTGAGTTAGAATTGTTTGCAAGACCATGAGTACATACACAACAAGGCAGTAAAAACTGATAGTGAGTAGATGACGTTTAATATCCCCGACAACCTCTGCTGTCCCATTTAGCCACTTGTTAGCAACCGCTTTTATCAAGACATGTAAAAGCTTAAAAATCATAGCATAGAATAAATTGTCATAGAACAAAACACAAATACATCTTGTGTTAACCACAAACCTTATTTCAGGCATTTAAGCATAACCCACTAAGTTGTTTCCCATTTTTAGGACTCCTTCCTGCATCACTCTTTTTAATTAAATAAAATTAAATAGATTTAATCATACATTAAATTCTGTAATACAATACTAACAGGAAGTCAAACATAAACTCCCCTAAAAAGTCACTGGATCCACAGACAATGACAACCTGTGCATTTAAGTTGAGGTATGAACATACCCTATTCCCTATAACATTAGCTACTGACCACCATGAGAATTAGCCCTTTGCTTTTTGAGTATCATAAATAATCCAGTTGCATTTAGGCCATCTTATTAGCATAAACCAAATGGTTGAGGTTTTGCTTTTTAGCATGACCCAGTTTGCCCCTGTTGGTAGATGCTGTAACTACACTGTCTTTTACCATTGACAACCATTATAAAGTAGCCCTATATAGAGAGTGCTGCAGGGAAACCATATTTGTGACCCTGGACCACAAAACCAGTCATAAGTGTAAATATTTCCAAATTTAGATAAATAAGCTTTCCATTGATGTATGGTTTGTTAGGATAGGACAATATTTGGCCGAGATGTGAAAATCTGGAACCTGAGGGTGCAAAAAAAAAAAATCTAAATATTGAGAAAATCACCTTTAAAGTTGTCCAAATGAAGTTCTTAGCCATGCATATTACTAATCAAAAATTAAGTTTTAATTTTTCGGAAAATTTACCAAATATCTTCATGGAACATGATCTAAAAATCTATAATTTGAAAGCAATAATGAAAGAAAAATCTATAATTTTGACCCATACACTGTATTTTTGGCTATTGCTACAAATATACCCCAGCGACTTAAGACTGGTTTTGTGGTCCAGGGTCACATTTTTGTAGGTCAACCTGTAAATTAGCATCACACTTGACAAAAGGCCAGTAATCCAGCTTTTGGATTATTGCAGAAAATAAACTCTATGACCAATAAAACTTCATGATTCTTAAGGCATGTTCACACCAAGGACGATAACTATAAAGATAACGATAAAAATATAGTTCTAAAAATCCACACCACAGCTATAATGATAAATGAACAGAGAAACAATATTGTTGGAATCACTTTTCAGAACAATTTTTTCAGTCTTAATGAATAAAAAATATATATATTGACACCCAATCAGAATCAGTCCTGCTGTAACAAGTTCGACAATTTAAAGGGATAGTTCACCAAAAAATTTGGAAGCTTAAATGCAATTACCATAAGTAAAAATCTTAACTTAGGCCATAAAAGAACTACACCGACAATAAGCTTCTGGAAACTCTTTCAGCATTTATTTAAGTTGGAATGTTTGAGTTAGAATTGTTTGCAAGACCATGAGTACATACACAACAAGGCAGTAAAAACTGATAGTGAGTAGATGACGTTTAATATCCCCGACAACCTCTGCTGTCCCGCTGTCCCATTTGTTAGCAACCGCTTTTATCAAGACATGTAAAAGCTTAAAAATCATAGCATAGAATAAATTGTCATAGAGTCATAGAAAAATACATCTTGTGTTAACCACAAACCTTATTTCAGGCATTTAAGCATAACCCACTAAGTTGTTTCCCATTTTTAGGACTCCTTCCTGCATCACTCTTTTTAATTAAATAAAATTAAATAGATTTAATCATACATTAAATTCTGTAATACAATACTAACAGGAAGTCAAACATAAACTCCCCTAAAAAGTCACTGGATCCACAGACAATGACAACCTGTGCATTTAAGTTGAGGTATGAACATACCCTATTCCCTATAACATTAGCTACTGACCACCATGAGAATTAGCCCTTTGCTTTTTGAGTATCATAAATAATCCAGTTGCATTCACATTCAAAATTACACTTGGCAGCATGCATAGTAATATTCGTCCTCTGTGGTTTTGGTTTGTTTAAGCTTGGCTGGCTGCATGAGGAGTAGGGACAGGAGTTGGTCTGTGTAAGCCCTCTTGAAGCATGTGAAGTGACAGATGTATCGTCTCTCGCGGTGGCTCCAGAGGCAGTGTGGGTAGCTCTCCTAATGAGCCTTATGCATATGCAGCCGGCAGAGTGACTTCGGCCTCCTGCAGTTCCACTTTTTGAGGACACTTTCTCCCATTTCCCCATCCCCTCCCTGGACCACAAAACCAGTCATAAGTGTAAATATTTCCAAATTTAGATAAATAAGCTTTCCATTGATGTATGGTTTGTTAGGATAGGACAATATTTGGCCGAGATGTGAAAATCTGGAACCTGAGGGTGCAAAAAAAAAAAATCTAAATATTGAGAAAATCACCTTTAAAGTTGTCCAAATGAAGTTCTTAGCCATGCATATTACTAATCAAAAATTAAGTTTTAATTTTTCGGAAAATTTACCAAATATCTTCATGGAACATGATCTAAAAATCTATAATTTGAAAGCAATAATGAAAGAAAAATCTATAATTTTGACCCATACACTGTATTTTTGGCTATTGCTACAAATATACCCCAGCGACTTAAGACTGGTTTTGTGGTCCAGGGTCACATTTTTGTAGGTCAACCTGTAAATTAGCATCACACTTGACAAAAGGCCAGTAATCCAGCTTTTGGATTATTGCAGAAAATAAACTCTATGACCAATAAAACTTCATGATTCTTAAGGCATGTTCACACCAAGGACGATAACTATAAAGATAACGATAAAAATATAGTTCTAAAAATCCACACCACAGCTATAATGATAAATGAACAGAGAAACAATATTGTTGGAATCACTTTTCAGAACAATTTTTTCAGTCTTAATGAATAAAAAATATATATATTGACACCCAATCAGAATCAGTCCTGCTGTAACAAGTTCGACAATTTAAAGGGATAGTTCACCAAAAAATTTGGAAGCTTAAATGCAATTACCATAAGTAAAAATCTTAACTTAGGCCATAAAAGAACTACACCGACAATAAGCTTCTGGAAACTCTTTCAGCATTTATTTAAGTTGGAATGTTTGAGTTAGAATTGTTTGCAAGACCATGAGTACATACACAACAAGGCAGTAAAAACTGATAGTGAGTAGATGACGTTTAATATCCCCGACAACCTCTGCTGTCCCATTTAGCCACTTGTTAGCAACCGCTTTTATCAAGACATGTAAAAGCTTAAAAATCATAGCATAGAATAAATTGTCATAGAACAAAACACAAATACATCTTGTGTTAACCACAAACCTTATTTCAGGCATTTAAGCATAACCCACTAAGTTGTTTCCCATTTTTAGGACTCCTTCCTGCATCACTCTTTTTAATTAAATAAAATTAAATAGATTTAATCATACATTAAATTCTGTAATACAATACTAACAGGAAGTCAAACATAAACTCCCCTAAAAAGTCACTGGATCCACAGACAATGACAACCTGTGCATTTAAGTTGAGGTATGAACATACCCTATTCCCTATAACATTAGCTACTGACCACCATGAGAATTAGCCCTTTGCTTTTTGAGTATCATAAATAATCCAGTTGCATTCACATTCAAAATTACACTTGGCAGCATGCATAGTAATATTCGTCCTCTGTGGTTTTGGTTTGTTTAAGCTTGGCTGGCTGCATGAGGAGTAGGGACAGGAGTTGGTCTGTGTAAGCCCTCTTGAAGCATGTGAAGTGACAGATGTATCGTCTCTCGCGGTGGCTCCAGAGGCAGTGTGGGTAGCTCTCCTAATGAGCCTTATGCATATGCAGCCGGCAGAGTGACTTCGGCCTCCTGCAGTTCCACTTTTTGAGGACACTTTCTCCCATTTCCCCATCCCCTCTAATTCTAGCTATTCATTTCATTCTGCCGTGCCCCATGTGTCACCTACACCTTGTTGTCTGTTTTGGTTCAAATCTTCCATCCTTTAACATTTCTCTCGTGTGTCACCTGGGGAGCACATCCTTTTGAAATGTGCTCACAGAATCTGCTGTGTTTTTGCCAGAGGCTGGCGTTGGCTGGGGGAAGTCTGTTTAAATGTTGGCAGAGTGAAAGATTTAGTAAAGAGCATGATCAAATGAAAGAGAGGGTGAACCATCAATGGTGAATCTTAACCAGGCGCTTAACCAGGCCCACTCAGAGCAAAGATTAGGTGTGTGTACTTGGTGTCCGACTTGGGCTAAATCAACAGTGTATGTGTAGCAAGGTTCCTTTTTTAATGGTATGAAAGCAAAATACAGCACTTTTTAAGATAATAAATGGATATGAATGCACATGCACAGCGTTCAGAAAGACAATGCAGCCTCAGTAAGTAAATAACAGAAAGCAAAATTAAATTACAGTCCCATTATTAATCTTTTCCAGACTGTGTCAAGGCCTACTATAAGCGAGCGAAGGCCTATGCAGCTGTGTGGAGCGAGAGGGAGGCCAGGAGAGACTTCCAGATGGTGGCCAACCTAGACATCACACTGTCTCGATTGGTGCAAAGAGAACTCGATCTTCTCTCTGAGAGAATGAAAGAAAAATACTGGGAGGATAAAGAAAGGTACTGGAAGATCCTGGAAGACAGAGAAAAGGAACCAGAGAAGGAGGACATCTCTGAAATGGATGCAAAAGAGGAAAGCAGAGGGGAACATTCTCAGTCCCCTGAAGAGGTCAAAGATGCTGAGGAGGGAAATAATCCATCTGTAGCAGACGAAAACAAGCATGACACCAAAAGTGAAGAGTCGGCAGCGGAGGCCAAACACAGGATAACAGCTCTGACCGAGGGCAAGGACTGGCAGCAGATGCTACGGCTAATTATGCTGCTCCAAGACGAAGGCAATTTCAATGTGAAAGAGCATAAATACACTGAGGCGACTGCTAAGTTCAAGGAGGCTCTGGAGTATGTTGACCATCTCCAAACTAAGGTGAGCTTGTCGAATGAAAATACAGTATAGGATTAATTGTAGAGATCATCAGTGCATCCCTTGTTTGTTATATACTCGATAGCTATAGAAGGCACTGAGGACAAGCCCCTCCATTTAAAAAAAAAAAAAAAGCATAATATATCAGGAGCTGTGATTTGAAATTGTAGCAAGCCACATAAAAAGTGGAATTTAAAACCATGAAGAAGCCTCTTAATTCAGTATTACACTGAGAGTGCAAGTGATAGTGGTCATCCAAAACAGCTAGTGTCCACTTATCTGAGAACTACTGGGCAAATGCAAAACTATCTGAAGAATATTCATGAGCCAAGCTGAAAAAGGTTATATTTTGTTTGCACATTTTAGATCATTCTTATGGCCAAGTGATACCATCTAATGGCAAGCATCACTGTTACTAATGCGTAAACATAAGGCTGGGAATTTGAACAAACCCTTGCTTATGAGTATTTATTCCGAGTTACTCTCATGAATGGTCTCAAATCATGTGGCTTGTTTAGAAGTGTACGGTCACTTTTCATCAGACTTTCAAATTTGATGGAGTGACCTGAACCATATGAAAGACAATATAATAGAGACATGGACTAAACACCCACACGAAACACTACAGTATCAAAAATACCCATATTCAAAACACCTTATCAACCACACAACCACTCACATTTTCCTTAGAACATATAAAATATAGTAAATACACACCTTCTCATATCCCAGAGGAGATGTACAATGGGATCCAAAAACTGCTTTGCAGGAACGACAAGGAAGCTTAAACAATTCCCATGGGGAATCAGCAACCCAGTGCTCACTAAGCCATATCCATCCCTCTGTGTGTTTTTAAGGTGGAACATAAAGGAGAAGACTGGGAATCTCTAGAGAAAGTCCGTCTGCCACTCTGTCTAAACCTCAGTCAGTGTAAGCTGGAGCTTGGGGAATACCTAGAAGTGGTGGATCTCAACTCTAAACTGCTGAAGAAACATAAAGGTGAGCTTATACACTCATTTACTGCAGAAATAGACATTGACCAGGAGTGTCCAGTTCTACTCCTGGAAGTCTACGTTCCAGTCCTGTACACTTTTGCTCCAATATACCTGCCTGGAAGTTTCTAGTGATCCTAAAGTCCTTGATTAGCTGGTTCAGGGGTGTTTAATTAAGGTTAGGCTAAACTCTGCTGCCTCCAGGAGCAGGGTTATGCTGGGTACACACCACAAGATAATCTGGCTGATTTTGGGCCGATTTCTCCCCTTCTGACAATCCTAGGTAATGTCCCGATTATCTTGGTGGTTCTAAAGATTATCTAATCAGGTTGTCCTGTGGTGTGAGGTGTGTTAAGAGTGACTGAATCTGCTCAGAAGAATGTCGGAGGCACCCCGATCGCGAATCGTAAATATTCAACATGTTGAATATTTACGATCAGAAATCCTGATGTGTGGGGGGAACCCCGAAAACACCAAACACTATATGAGCAAAATGTTTTTTTTGTTTGTGGTCTCTCACATTTTGAAGATCTTATAAGATTTTAAAAATATTTTAGAGTGTACCCAGCATTAGACACCATAGAGGCATAGACCATGATATAGACACAAATGTTGTTTAGGTTAAGCAGCAGCAGCAGATATAGATTCTTCACCACCCAATGTGAGCCGGCCAATTGCTCCATTATTGCCTGTAGTAAAAACAGCCTTGGGCTATGTCAGTTAGCATTTACTACACTCTTCCTTTAGCGGCCACATCTCAATGCTTCACTTTGTCAGTGGATCCAGGAAGTTGAACCAATTGCATCATTCTCCATATATTGAGTTATTCCCTGGTATCTCCATCCAGCCCCCTATGTAAAGAGTGAAAACTGTTGTTTACTTTTGAATGAATTATTTATCAGGAAGACAATGCAATGTGGCAAGACCTAGTCTTCACTCTCTCACTTTCATCTCCACCACAGACAATATGAAAGCTGTGTACCAGCGGGCCCAAGCTCACGCCACATTATGTAACGAAGACGAGGCACACAGGGATTTCAATAGGGTCATGCAACTGGATCCCAGATTCAAACCCATCGTCAAACAGGAGATTAAGAAGATGGGTGAGAACATAAGAGTGAAGTGTGTCAATGAAAACAAAAACTACTGGACAAGCACTCAGGAGAAGTGGGAAAAGAAGGCGCAGACAAAGAGAGGAAAGAAGATGAAGAAAGGAGTGACATGGGCGGATGAGAGTAAAAGGTTGGGAAGGAACGATGAAGGACAACTGGCAAGATCTGGCTGCGGTGACAAATCAGAGGAGAGCTGCAGTGTCAAAGCAGGTAATAAAGATGAAGGACAGGATGAGAAGAAAAACTGCGAGAACAAAAAAGACGAGAGCTTTCTGAACCTGAAAGAAGCAAAAGAAAAACCTGCAGCTGTAGGTAAAGACAGGTATTCAGTCCAAAGCAATGTGCTGGGAGATAGTACACAGAGATCACAGACAGATAGCGGGGCCACTGAAACTCTACTGACCAATGAGATTACAAAGAAAAATTACGGCCAAGATGAGATCACAGATGAAATACAAGAATCTCCTGCAAAGCCAGACAAAGATGCAAGCAGTGGAGCATCAAGGGAAGAAAGACAGACAGACACGACTGGAGATGATGAAACAGAGGAAAGCTACTGAATTTAAGATGGAGAAGACAAATGTTGAGGAACCAACAGGAGCATCACCTGCAAAACCTGAGAAATTCACCAAAAATATAAAATGCAAACAGAAAAAGAAACAGATTAAATGCCATCATCTGAAAAAAAAAATACAAACCAGACCAGGTGTATAACAAATAAAAATTTATTTCTTTGTACACAATGAGTAGAAAGCAGCCAGTAACTCGTTCATTTTTAAAACTCCTTCCTTTCACATTTTGTACAGATTAAAAACATGAAAAACTAAAAACGAAGACATTAATTATGGTGTTAATAATTAAAAATAAAACTGCATTGCACATGAAAATCAAAACATAAAAAAACACAACGCATATATTGCAGGGACACAAATAAAACGTAATATTTGTATTCAGGTCATTTGACCTGAAAACAACACAACATGTCATAGTGTGTAATGGCGATGCCACAGGTTCAGAGGTTAAACCAGTAAATGCCCAGTTGTGTAGTTCAATATTACAAACAAGCCTACAAAGCCAGAGACGTATTGGGGTCGTGACACAAAGGTCTGCTACATACAAACAAAAATAATGAGTGTATTTGTTAATGAGGCAGATGGCTAAATATAGCTCAGGCAGCCCTTAGCAATGCTGTCAAATCCACAAAATATTTCCTTCTGTAATTTAACACATCCCACAAATTCAGCACATCTCATTTTCTAAAAGTAGACAAGGGAGCAATTATGAGTTAAAAAGATCATATTAAGGAATAATAGATATACATACAGTATATGCCAGAATGGAGAATTATTATATTTAGCAAATGGTATGCATATAGAAGAATTTCCATGTATTACATAATGCTACATGATTTGCTACCATGTTGAAGCTCTACATATCATAATTTGCAAAAATGTTTAATAAATCATCTCCCTTTCTACAGGCTTAAAAGTCATTTTCTTAATCAGCATTGTGTCTTGCTTTCTATTAAAAATATCTAAATATACTTAAAACATGATTCATTTATTTGAAAAACAATGATTTTATTGCTTCTTTTCAGAGAATATACTGAATAGTTTTTTCAAATTTCTTCACATTTTAGCCATTTTACTTAAGATGTAAAATATGCTTTCAGATAAGATTGGGTAAAAAAATGAACTTAATTGTAAAGTATAGGTCTATCTCTGAAAACAAGTCATAATATTAAATTGACTAAATGTATCTTGTTTTAAGGATGTTTGGATATTGTACTGGGAAAAAAGTGTTGAAATGACTTCAGACAATCCACACAATCACAGCCCTGAATTAGTTGAGACTGTTTGGCATGGAATAGAGAGGGAGCTGGAGAAAGAAACGAATCGCAATGCGCATACTTCAATGTGTGCGTTTGTATGTGTGAGATGCTTTTGTCCCGAAGAAGCACTGGAATGATAAATGGGTGTCGCTGTGGATAGAACACCAGATGTTGATCTTAATGAGGAGCCATGCAAGTTAAACAAAGGCATGCATATGGGGCGGAGGGGACCCGAGTTTCCCTCTCTCTCTTCCTCCATATGCTTATTTGTATCTCCTCCATTATGAAGTCACCCCACCTTTCTAAAGACCAACCTGCAGCGCTGTGTCCTTGGGGACCGTTCCTTAGCAACCGCATCAAAACAAACAGACAGCTCACCACTGTGATGTAAAATGAGATCACAATGCGTGCGAAAGAAAGCCGGCGATGCCACAGTGGGATTCAAGCAAAAAACCTACAGAGCAACAGGGGTCACTTTGTGTTTTTATGGAGACGGGGAGAGCGAGGAATCGCTATACTTCCAACATGTTTGCCAAAACAAATGGAGAACATCTCTTGCTCTCTCAGCTGCAATAATCTCATTCCTGTTTGCAGGGGCTGCAGTGCCACAACCCATCACCGTGAATATTTACACACTTTTCTCTTTCCCATTTGCAGTCTTTCCTTCACGTCGTATCTCTTCCCGCTCACTATCTTTTTCTCTTTTCTAGTCACTACACCCCCAGCATCTTCTCTGCTCATATAAATCTGACACCCCACAGTAAATCACTCCACAAAAAAAGCTTTTTTTCTCTGTTTACAAAGAGCGTGATCCATTTGCCGTCCTCCTCCCTCGGCATAATGTAAAATAATCCTTCCACACACTCACTTTCATTTTCTTCCTTAGATTGTGGAAATGCTGAGATCTGGAGAACAGCATTTGGTAAACAAAATCCTTACATCAGGAAGACGACAATAAGACAGTGAGATGTAAGGCTGGTATTCTTTAGAAGAGAAAAAAAATAAGTGGGAGCTTTGAAGTCTTAAGGCATAATAAGAGCTATGCTGGGTTTAAAATGAGTGTAAAAGACCTTCCCAAGCCAAAGTGAAAAGGGCCGAACCTGGCGTCGACTCGTCTCCTTGGGTATCTACTTTCTTGTTCATGCCACGCTGGACAGCTGTAATTTAACGGCGAGTGCTCTGACAACAAAACAACAATACAAATCTTCATTCCTGAAAGACCTTTCCCGTTGTGACCGGAAAACCAACAGCTGAGAAATCTGCTCATCTCCTCAATAGATCCTTTCTGTACGAGTGGCTACACTGCAAAAAAAATCTATTTATTAATCAAGGTTTTGTCATGTTATCCAAAAGAAATATCTAAACATCCTTAAAAACAAGATACATTTATCTGAGAAGCAATTTTAGGATTAGATGTGATCTCAGTCAGTACATTTTTAATGAAGTTTTCCCCTCCTTGATTTAAGCATAAATCTCACTACATTTAGATAGAAATGGTTTGGGTTCAATAAAAGTTGTGCTCAATTGCCAACATTCATTGCATAATGTCTGTTACCACAGAAAATAATTTAAACTCACCTCAGTTTTTAAAAACAAAACAGGCATATTTTAAAATAAAGAAATACATTTTTTGCCATTTTAATTAGGAAAAATAAGCTGTTCTCTGTTACATAATACTCTCTCATAATACACTCTCGCTTTGAAGAGTTTGGGGTTGGTAAGATGTTTTCTGTTTTTTTAAAGAAGTCTCATCCTCACCATGGCTGAATTTATTTAAAAAACAATAACTGTAAAATATTATTACAAACTAACATAACTGTTTATTTAAAATGTATTTATTCCTGTGTTGACAACACTGAATTTTCAACAGCTATTACTCCAGTCTTCATTGTCACATGATCCTTCAGAAATCATTCTATATGCATATTTAGTGTTCAAGACACATTTCTTATTATCACTTCTGTTTAATAATAATTATTAAGCACTGGTGCTGTTTAATAATTAGTTGATTATTTGATGAACAGAAATTCCAAAAGAAAAAATATCTTCCTGGCCCAAACTTTTGAATGTTGTTTGAAAGATGTTTATATATTTGTGATTAAAACAAGGCCAAAATACTGATCAAGAAAATGATTTTTGCAGTGTGTGTCTGTGTATTTTCTCTTTCATTTATTATTTGAAAGCGAGAAAGAATATCAGGACAGGAGCATAATGCTCATGGGCACTTTGGCATATAAATAAATGAAGACGTGTCGTCCTTACAGTGTAAATAAGCTTGCTGTGTGTCCCGACAGTTCAGGGGAATCTGCTCTTTTCTGCTTCACAGAACAAGGGCCACGCATTGCCAAGCATGACTTACCATCGGTATATGTGTATATTTGTATTTATGTGCATGAGTGAGTCACAGAAAATAGTAAACCATTTTAAAAATGGAAAAAAAAACGTTCACACAGAGAGGTTGCTGGCACAGGGATACCCAAGGTGAGATCCCACTTCTGCATGGTGTAAGTCAGGGTTCCTCAAATCTTGCCCTGGAGGGCCACTGCCACTGTTTAGCTCCAACCCTGATCAAACTCACCTACCTGTGATTTTCTAATGATCCTGAAGAAATTGATTAGTATGCTCAGGTGTGTTTGATTAGGGTTAGAGCTAAACTCTGCAGGAAAGTGGATCTCGTGGGCCAGATTTGAGGATCCCTGGTGTAAGTCCTGTTTGTGGTTCTTGTGCTGTACTGATGAAGCCACACACTTTGCATTACGACACGGGTTAGCACAGTGTCCGGATCAGTGCAGGCCTTTGGCACCATGTAAACCTTAGTTTGTTTAGTTAGCACTCAGATATCCCACAGCTCTTTGGGATTGGCAAATGGCCGCAGGCTGAGAAGGTTGTCTTAAAACTCTTCTCGCTGCCGCCTCGTCTGTCCATGGATTCGCCAGCCCTGCATTCTCAAGACCCTGCCCACAATAAGATGAGCAATACGACGCCTGAAAAATTTAAGAAGGCTGTTATCATCTAGACAGATCAATAGAAAGCTGAAACATCAAATGCAAAGATCAAAAAAGTTTTCAAATGTAGTTCCCTTTAACACACTGGATAGCAGGTAGTTTTAGTTGAGTTTTAAGTACTGCATCTGCATCGCGTACTAAAATAAAACATCTTTTAAGGAAATGGTTCAGCCAAAAATAAACCTGTATGACTTTCTTTGCTTCTGAAGACTGTCAGGAACAGACTGGTAGTTGTTTTTCCTGAATGTCTTACTGATTTAGCTTTCAAATGCTTCATGCAAGATTTGAAATTAATTAGGTCCAACATCATTGGTTCCTAAGTGTATTGTAGCCAAAGGAGATGTGTTTGAAAGAGAAATTAATTAAATTGAGAATTTAGCAACTTTTGGTTTTCTGGTTTTCACTCAAATCATATCATACAGCTTCAGAAGACTTTTAATACAGTGCATGAGTCATACGGGCCATGTTTGCAGTACAATTCTAGTGCTTTTTATAGCAGTATAAATCACCATTCACTTACAGATTCTGCTAAAAAAAATGACAAGGTGAAATACTCCTTATATGTAAGCTTATATATTTCCAAAATAATGAAACTATAAGCAAACCTGCACAATTTTAGGCCTCTGAGTTTTGCTTCAGGTTCCTCATGGACCTGGCTCAGATGGGAAGACGTTCCTCAGCTGTTCGATTACCTGCTGCAGCTGCAGTACGGTGTCCTGCTCGTGATCCAAATCTTCACCTACACAACATTAAATGCTACAATCTAAAAAATGCTGGGTTAAATATAACCCAGCATTTTTTAGAGTGTACAATAAACATGACCTCAACTAAAAGCATCAAAAGTAGCAACATATAAGCCTTATTTAAAGTCACATCTCTTTGAATCCCATTATGGGTCCATGTTGGCAGGATGACAGCAAAGCTGCAAGGTTATTCCGGGTGTACCTGCAGCTTCTGTGTCTGTGGTCTCTCTACTGGGAGGCTCCCCCTGCTGGCCACCCCCTGACACAGGCGACGATAGAGAAGAAGGATCTGAGCCATTGGCCTCTGAGTCGTCTTTGGGCTGGTAGACATGACAAAATGATGAGAGAGCAAGAAATCCTAATGAAAACAGTTCAGAATAGCATCCAACCACACTACTCTATAATTTCTGCAGTATGAACATGACCGTTCAAAGGTTTGGGGTTAGTATGATTTTGTTTTTATTCAGCAAGGATGCATTAAATTTATCAAAAAAGACAGTAAAGATATTCATAATGCTACAAACGATTTCTATTTCAAATACACTTCAAACCATTATTAGTTTAATTTGCAATAATATTTTACAATTATATTACTATTTTTACTGTACATTTTACTGCCTTGTTGAGAGACTTATTTCAAAACATTAAAAATAATCAGTCACACTTTATTTTAGGGTCCAATTCCCGCTATTAACAAACCATTAACTATGCCTTTTTCCTTAATAAACTCCCAATTTGCTGCTTATTAATAGTTAGTAAGATAGTTGTCGAGTTTAGGTATTGGGTAGGATTAGGTATGTAGAATATGGTCATGCAGAATATGTGCTTTATACGTACTAATAAACAGCCAATATGTTAATAATAGCCATGCTAATAAGCAACTAGTTAATAGTGAGAATTGATCCCTATACTAAAGTGTTACCAAATAATCTTACCAATCCCTTTTGAACAATATTACATAGTTATTTTTCTAAATCTCATTTCATTTTTAAATGTAATTTAATTTGTATTTTTTTTAATAAAACAAGTTATTTTTAAATACTTATTAAATATATAATATATCAAATATTGTAGTATGTATACTGTACATTTCATGCGTATACCAACAGATGTGGATAATTGTATACTAATAAATATTAGACAGTATATACTGTGCAGTATGCAGTATGCTAGCCTAACCATGCTTTTAAACTGAAAACATTATTGATGGGTTCTCTGATGAGAAAAACAGTTTTACAAGTTTTCAAATGCTGCCAAAACTCCAAACTTCGGCGTTTATCGACCAGGGATTTGGCCCCTTTTTCATACATTACAAAGACTGTGTATTTTCTTGAGGGATGAACTGATAAGAAACTCAGAGATGACTCGCCTCTTTTTTTGTTCATTTCACAGGCAGATGAGTTGAAATGAGGCTGTTTGCATGAAATACCTCAAATTTATTCTGAGTTAAACTCTTTTATCGCTTTACAGAGATGTCCACAGAGGTAAGACTGTAACTTTCCCAGCGACTTTCTAGGGGTGCAGAATCTCCATAATCCCAGCACATTATTGCTTCCCCCATGACACATCTCTCGTTCGTTTTTGTAGGTTAAGTCGATCTCGCTCCCCCATTCCTTCTCTCTATTTCCATCTAATTCCTTTTCACCTACAGCTACAGCCTCAGTGTTTTTGCTCTGCTCTCTCATTCCATCCAGCCTGCCAATCATATCTCTGCAGCACTACCTCTCTTTTTTTCTGCACAACCACCTCTTATCCTATTCACTCAGCACCGCCTGAGCTTTTCTTTTCCCTCCTCGGCCTGCTTTCTGTCTTTCTTTCGCTAAAGAAAAGGATCCTTTTTCTGCCCACTCTATTCTATCCATCCCGCTCCTTAAGCTCTATGTATGTCAGCTCAAGAAATGACTTGCTTTCTACCCACTCCACCTGTATGATTCCATCTCCATCAATGGTGTTCTTCCCCATATATAATCTCTCTCTAACTCTTCCTTCCCATCTTTGCAATTTACCAGAAGCAATTCACCAGAAGTTAGTATGTCTTCCTACAGTCTCTCGTCCTCCATCTCTTTTCAGGTCTCAATAATAGCTACTCTTAAAAAAATTATTTCTGTCTTCACATCTCTTCTCCTTTCACCTGAGACAAGTATTTTCTAGTTCCCTGTCTCCTTGTCCTCTCTGAGTAAGCTGCATTAGTAAGCATCTCTTGCCTCGCTTTTACCCTTCTACATGTGGTACATCAAGGCAGTCTATAATACGGTCTATCCTCCTCTGTTCAGTCATCTTCCTACTCTTTTTTCCGAGAGCTTCAAATACGTCTTCTTTCTCCCCTCTACCTCCCTTTTCAGTATATTTTGTAAGCCCATCTTTACTTCTCTCACAGTGGTTGTTTTTAAAGCTCAAAATATTCCTTCAAACCCATAAACATTTAACATGAAAGTCTCCAGCGCAGAAGGCCCTGATTACCTGTTCATGTCCTCCCTGTACAGCGGTAACATAATCATACAACTCCCTATGCGCCATTCCTTCAATGTTTCTATCATAATAATCTATTCTGGCTCTTAGTACTCACTGTGGGCATACTTCTCATTCTTTAGGTATACAGGCATATGTTTTAGGCTATATCTCACCTGCAGCAGTAGTTCTCTGAGTCTGTGTAGTTGGGACTCCAGTTGCTTGTTGTGGTCCTCTAGAATCTGCATGCGCGTCTCCAGGCGGGTCTTGTGCTGTCGAAGGACTCGAGCCTCGGCTAGGAGCTCCTCGTCCTGCTGACCGGCCGGTGAACCGGGACCCGATTCCAGCAGCTGAGGTGAAGATGCTGCCTCTTCATGCTTCCACTTCAGCCGCCGATACTCGCCCTGCAGCACCCTGCGGGAGAGACAACAGCATCATCATCATCATCATTTAGATTTAGGTCATTATACATGCTACATCTAGACAAAAGCTGTTACATTAAACAAATGTGATAAAATCAAATTTCTTTACTCAGTTTAGAATTGCATACTCTCAGTTATACAAATTCATTTTGTATATTAAAAATCTTAAAGGGGTTATGAACTGCCTCTGTTTTTTTATTTTGTACTGTTCTCTGAGGTCCACTAATAATGTTATCAAGATTTTTACATCATAATTTAGAATAGGCTATTTTCTGTCCTGTTTTTAACCCCCCTCATCAGAACGCTCTGTTTGAATAGGTGTGGCAGATTGTAGACTCGGAAGTAAACCCCCACTGCTAGGATTGGCTTGTGTATGTTTGATAGTCTACGTTCATCACAGATGGACGCTGCTGTGATTTAGGTTAAAACGCATAAATACTCAGTACATATAAAACAATCTGTTTAACAGACAAGGCTATAGCGATAACGCAATAAAAAACAGTTACTCATTACTGACGGATTCAATATACAGTAGTTGGCACAGCATCATCTTTTAGTTTCAATCTTTCTGAAAACCCTGCATTGAATTGTGCCTTGTTTGTAACTGACACGGTCTGGCACTTCATTAAAAATAAAGTTCATGTAAATAAAGTTTATCGTTACTTCTTGTTATTTACACTATGTGTGTGAATCGGTAGGTGGAGCTAAACAGGCAGTGATGCAGAAGCAGGCATTGATCATCTTCTGCAGAGGCAGTGTTTAGCCACACTATTACGTCATAAAGTGGCACATTCCACAACCTGTGGCTTTGGCAGACTGGCTTCAATATAAGCTGTTTTTAGATTAACGAGAAAGTTTTGAGTTCTGAAACATACAGAATGTTTTTATAACACAATGACCTCTTATAAATCAAAAGAACAAGGGAATTTTGATTTCTCAGTTCATGACCCCTTTAAACAGAAAAAGTTTTTTCCCATTCTACATTTCATTTTTAAATGTTGTTTTATTTAATATAAATATACATTTCATAAACATATGTATTACAAAATACCTTAATACCTTAAATATTAAATATATAACTATTTAAATAATTACTGCGTAAATAATTGCTTATAATGATCTGAATATAATTATTAATAATTTGATCATTATTTGAATTACTGAAAATAATCTAATAATTATTCTTTAGTCGTTTTATTTTATTATATTCCAGTTTCTGTATTGTTGTATATAGAAATATTTATTATTTTGTTATTTCTCTATTTGTAGCACGTAAGTTCAGTTGGATTTGGGTGGGTTGGGGGATATATATATATATATATATA